CCATTCTGACTGGTGTGAGGTGGTATCTCATTGAGGTTTTGATTTGGATTTCCCTGATGCCGAGTGATGTTGGGCACTTTTTCATGTGTCTGTTGGCCATTTGGATGTCTTCTTTGGAATGCACACATTTAAAATGTATTAATTGATACATTTTGACATTATATATGCACCTTTGAAACCATCACTACAATCAGGATAATGAATGTGGAATCCTCATTGCCTCTTGTAATCCTAACTCCCACCCCTCCCCAATTCCAATCCTGTGTTGAGGCAACCAACTACTTTCTTTCTTTCTTTATAGATAAGTTTGTATTTTCTAGACTCTTATGTAAATGGAATCATACAGTGTGTGGTGTTGGGTTTTTCCTGGCTTCTTTCACTCAGCATAATTATTTTGAGATTCATCCATGTTGTAACACTTATCAGTAGATCATTTCTCTTTATTGCTGAATAGTATTGCATTACACAGCTATACCAGAATTTGTCTATCCGCTTCTCTATTAATGGACCTGTGGGTTGTTTTGAGTTACCATTTTACATAAAGCTGCTCTGAACATTCATCTATAAGCCTGCATATAGACAGGCACTATTATTTCTCTTGGGTAAACACCTAAGAGTAAAATGACTAGATTATATGATAGGTGGATGTTTAATCTTCTAAGAGATTGCCAAAATGCTTTCCAAAGCATTTATACCATTCGACTTTCCCATCCACAGTATATGAGAATTCCAGTTTTCCATATAGTCACTAATCCTCAGGATGGCCAGTCTTTAATTCTAACTATTGCATGGACATATAGAGTTATTGTGATTTAGTTACTTGGAAATAATATGGACCTTTTGGGTCTTGCTTTTAAGGCTTATGAGCTGGGTTCATGGCAGTAGTGTAACCAGCATGAATTTTTCCCCACAATGAAAGTAATATCTGTCTGTGTACAGTACCCGATGCACTGCAAATGAAGGATTTCCAGTCTGGCTGGTGGGAATGGGTGTGCTGGTACTCATTTAAGGTGGTCCTTTCCTCGGGTAGTCTCCTCACAGACATGCTCACTGGGTACTATCTGCATCCTGCCAACTCTTTCAGCATGATAATGTGAGGCAATCCTAATGCTCACCTCATTCGTTTCCCACCTCCCAGGGATCATTGCCCTTCTTGCCCAAAATCCACTGTCTTGAAATCTTTTGCTTCTGTATTTTGTTCATTCTTTGGATGTTTCCAGAATGGGGTAAAATCAATCTCTGTTACCCCATCTTGTTCAGAAGTAGAGGTCTCCATACAATTAATTTTGACAAGGCAGGGTATAAAATCAGAAATCACTCAATATCCTACTATGAAACTAAAACTTAGTAAAATTAGCTCCTGAATTATTTTGCATGCAAGCCATGAGGAAAATTTGTTTTATTTACAGTTTAATTTCTAATAGTATGCTTAGTTTTGAATTATTTTTAAATATTTCCATAAATATATCTTATTTGGGGAAGCATTTTCTGAATACTTTTTGCAAAAGCCAAGCGTATTAAAGTCATTAGGGGTGTATATATATATATATATACATGTCTTTCTCCTAACACATGCATTTCAAGGATATATGACAGCCTTAGAGATACCAGCAAATCCATATATATGTTATTTCTACTTTTACTTGGACAGATTTTTTTTTTTTAAGATTTTATTTATTTGACAGAAAGAGAGAGAGAGCAGGAACACAAGCAGAGGGAGTGGGAGAGGGAGAAGCAGGCTTCCCGCTGAGCAGAGAGCCTGATGTGGGGCTCGTTGCCAGCACCCTGGGATCATGACCTGAGCTGAAGGCAGACGCTTAACAACTAAGCCACCCAGGCGCCCCTTACTTGGACAGATTTAATAAAACATGCTGGCATTATCTGAATACTAGAAATAAGAAACATCCACAATGGCAGAGTGATAAAGTAAAGAAATTGTCCAAGGAAACACTAAATATAAGGGGCTTTTGTCATTATGTAATATCTACATCCTTCCTTTTCTTAGAAAAAAGGTGTGTATAGAGACATGTCTGACTAAGAAAGAATTCATTTAATAACTATTATAAGGAAGGTGGAAAGTTACCTTACAGAGGAGATTATTAACTTCTGGAACAATGCAAAAAATAAATCCCACCAGGATGAAACATTTAATATCTATTGTATTTTTTTCTGGCTAAGATAAACTGTAGCTACTTGTTTTATACCTTAAAAATCAGAATTACTCTTCCTTTATTGATAGAAATGACATTCTTTTTTAATATCAGTTTGTATACTTAAACATCTAGAAGTTACTTGATGGACAGTGTCAGAAATAAAGGGACAGGTTATTACCAAAGAAACAGGCCAATCAATCTAGGATCATCTAGCCACATCATCTAGAAACTTGTTAACTCCTTATGGAATCCATCACCACTTTGGACAAGAAACAAAATTAAATGTCATGTTATTGAAAAGTATGTGTGTGTACACATAATTATTTTCTTAATAATTTAAAGGATGTGTTCCATGGAACAAAATTGGTCCCATCATGTGATAAAAGTTATATTTAAGTACATTAACATATTTTTAACATAGGTTAGTTTAACATTTAAGTACATTAACATCATTTTTAATATTTACAAGTATGGGGATTAAAATTATTTTTGCAACTAAGTAATTCAGTGATATTTGCACATTCATTTAAAAGCATCTGACACCATAATGTCAATTTGCATTATGCTAAGCTTTCTTATTTTAGGTGAAATCATGAGAAGGGTTCTGCATTCTTTTTTCATATCATTTTAAAAGTGACTCTCCCCTTGAGGTTAGCCTTGTTTATAATAGTTATCAGTTTCTGGGTTTGTTTTTTTTTTACTTGTTCAATAAACATTTATGCAATACCAAGTATGAGCCTCAGACCATATACCGATATTGAGGCTACAACAGAAATAAGACAGAGGCTATTTTTTTCTTTAAGAAACTTCATGGAAAAGTCAGTATAATAATCATGTAAGACATTTGTTAAGAAATAGATTCCTGGGCCCCGTGTCCTACAATTCAGAATCCACTGGTCAAGGGTAAGGCTTAGAATTCTTAAGGACTGAGGAAGTGAGAGAGGCCTGAACTCCAGCCTAAATTCCAACTCCTTGCTCTCCTTCCCACATAGTAGCCTGGCCTGCAGGGTCGAATCTAAGAAGTGCTTTGTTCTCCTTGGCCCAGAGGGGTTTTAATGGAATGTAAGTGGCAGTTTCCAGAGGCTAATGCAACCCTGAACCCATCACACAATTTTAGAGACAGACCTAGCAACTACAGTAGAAGAGACCAAGACTATAAGCTTCCAACTTAATAAATAATTTACCTCTTTAAACAATAACCACATTTATTGATTTCTAGCCACACTCAGCTCTCCAAGAGAAATCAGATGTCAAACATAATGGAGAATTTGTGCTTAAACATAGTTTTGTTTGAGGCTTAGTTTGCTTTTGTCTTTATATATTATTCCTACTCACATTGACAATGTTGAATAAAATGCTTGTCCATAGGTCTCCCTATGCATAAAGGCAAGCTATTTTTCTAATAAAATAATTCATTGCAAATATATACTTGTAGATAGGATGCGCTTCCTTTTTGCTTTTGGAAAAGCCTGTTACGTTGCTTTGGGGATTTTCTTGAGATTTCACCTGGAGCTTTCTTTTATAGGGCAAGGGTCTCTTTCCTAATAGGCAGAAAGCCTCTTCCCCTTTTATTCTCTTGCCAAATACCCACAGTCGAAGCTTGAGCCATCCATGCTCTGCTTGACTCTTCCTTCTCTCTGTCCCCCATTTTCATTCAACAGCTCATGTATCAGCACTCTAAATGCAACCCTTAGCAACTCCAGCTATAACTGCAGGCTTCAGATTATTCTTCTTAGGTCTGTGGCCTCCCACATATCATAGCCCATCCCACCTGTCATATCTTAGTGGCTCTAACACAATGATTTTATGCTTTTATACCCATCCTTAGGGCAAGTTCTGACATTTTCCGTAACTCCTACTTTAGCTTTATCTCGAATTACATATATGTAATCTCACATTACATGACTATTACATGTATACCTTACCGTGTCTCATGGATGTGTTTCTAAAAAAATGAATGTTTTATTTATTGAGTAAAGAAAAAATGCCTGAAAGATGTGTGAACAAACTTAGAAGAAAAAAAATGAAAAGCTTTTTTAAGGAAAATATGGCTTACGCTATGACAAATCATAGCCCTGCAACCCAATTATTGGTAAGCATGGCTTTGTATTTGTCCCTTTTCTAAAAGCACTGCTGTTTCTGGAGCAGGGGGAGAGCCATGTTTTCTTGATGACCTTTAAGTCCCTGTGTAAAGTCTCTGTCCTAACACTTGAAGAGGATGTTTCCTTCACTGGGTCTGTTCTGAAGGAAATCAGACAGCCATTTACCTGTTTGGCAATAGCAGGTGTCTCTGTGGGATGCCCTTGGAAACAAAAATGCTGGATTCCCCCACTGGGTGTAATTTTATGAGCTCTGTAGGGAATTTCTTTATGGCCATTTTCCCGCTTGTATGTAATATATAGTGATGATTGTGGTGAAAACCAATTCTTATAACATTTTTAGAAATCCAAGCCTTAACAACCATAGAAGTTTTAGAGCTAACTAGGACATCTTGCACCTATCCACAAGCTTTTGAAAGGAGCACGTTTTGTATAATGATACTTTCAGTAATGTTTTATTTTACAGGAAAACACACCCTGCCTTTATCTGTTTTACCTATTGTTTTGCAGTGTGTCTCAGATGTTGCAATTAAAATACACATTAGTATTAATGCACTCATTGACCAGCCTCTGGACTGTAGACTGCACAAAGAGGACACCATTGTATTCCCACTTCCCTTAAAATAATGTTCTTGAGCCCCTAATTGGCCTTTCTCTCCTGTGAGGATAGCGTCCCTGTTTTCCCTGTAGTTTCTATGGTACCTACGTAGATGACCGTGAAACATATATTACTTCAGCTGTATTGGTTTAATAGCCCTCACTATAAATATAAAATATAACTATAGGGAAGGCATTATGCAAATGAAAAGAAGCAAGGTAAGCTGAATTTATAATTTATTAAAATCAAACAATCCTTGCAAGCCTGAATATTGTATTCAGTAACATCATACCACTGTACACTGTTCTTTATAAAAATTCAGATAATGTCTGATTCAAAAAGACACTTGGACTATATCCTAAATGTTTCATGATATATCGAACCTCTTAAAAAATCGTAGCCACTAGTGGACCCATGGCACACTCTGAAAGATGTCAGAAAGTAGGGCGAGCACTGTGATACCTTTCCATTGAAGGTGCCGCCCCACTGGTGGAATCCTGCACTCTGGAACTTCCCAGTCCTAGAAGGCTGGCTGACAGGAAGTGCCACTAGGTGTGCCTCAACTGAAAAGCTAACCCTAGCTGCTGATCGGTGGCCCACAATACTTCCTCAGGGTGCTAGAACCCCTTTCTAGCAGAAATGAAGGTGAAGTCCACAGGGAATAAGAGGGAAGAGAAGAAAAGGGGGAAAATGTTGATTCCTCACCTCTCCCCATGAAAACATCATATGAAACAGCTGCAGGACGCATGAAAGGATCTCATATCTTATATTTATAAACCATAAAATAATGGGATTCCATTTGGAAAAAAGACCATAGAACCTAAATGTACACTGTAATCACTAGATTATTATAATCAGTTTGTGGCTAATATTTTTGCTTCATTTTCCATTAAGGTGACATATTTGTTTGATAACGGAGGGACGGTCTTCTTTGCTATTTTTATGGCAATATGGGGTAAGTATGTTCTTCTGTTAATTGCTTGTCCCCATTTTCTGAGGCTGTTGTTGTTTCTTCACATACATGCACACACACACACAAACACACACACCCTGTGTATCAACTCAACAATGAAATCTCTTGCTTTGTTTGCCCTCTTCACACATTCACTGCTTCTTTGGGAATTTAACCCCTGCTCTAATCCTCTAGTCCCTAAAGCCTTGACCTTCCTATACTAAGGAGTGTATTTTTCCTGCCGAATGCAGATGGTGATTAAAAACAAACTGAAACATATTAGAATCCAAATGATGCTGCGTGTACTGCGTGTAAAAGTGATGCTCAGAAAATGTTTCGTTTGCATTATATTTCTATTTGTCTATTTTTTTAACATTACACTTTATACACTTACAGATACAGAATCTATTCCATATATGATTAAGGAATAATATCTAATACATAGTAAATCTTGTTCTTATTTAACATCTTAAGACTGTAAAAATTATGTACAGGTATATGCTTTGGCTGACTTTTTTCACCGTGTTTCTCATTGACTCTTTAAAGCACCCAATTAATTGAGTCGTAAAAGAAATCTGACAGGTTAGGATTCCCCAGCCTTTGAAGAGAACCTATCCCTTTCCCGGGTAGAGTCAGGTTCCCTACCGTGGCCCCGTTGAATGCAAAGTCATTGTCAGTCTGGCAATTCAAGGGACGGACCATGTATGTGCTGAGACAGGAAAGTAAAATGTACTAGAGAGAAGTCTCTCACTCCCATTACCTTAATTTTCCAGGAACAGAAACTCCTTATACTCTCTTTCTTAAGTCAAAATTAAAAAAAAAAATTACTGTTCCAGTTTTCCTTCAAGGGAATGCCCAACTTGATGCATGAAATTAGGACAATAGAGTTAGTTAAATTACAGGCAGGGAAAGCATCGTGAAACCTTTTAGTTTTACCTGACTCTCATAAACCATTTCCCACTAAGAATAAAATAAACCAAAGTACAAATTAAGGTTACTCAATAGATGATTCAGCACAGCCAAACATGGTAAGAAATGAAACCTTTTAGATGATTTATCCTCTACGTTTCTGCTACTAGTCTCATACTTTTATAGTTCTCCTTGGCACAGCCACATGACAGTGATCTTGTTTTAGCTTTTGGAAGATGGGTTTGTGAAAAGACTAGGATGTAGGCGATCATTTGCCGTCAGAAGCCTTTTTCCCTTTAGTTCTATACTGAGGTACGAAGTTGAGGTATGTCATCCATAGGAATGCCGTCCCGTGCATTTTCTTGGCCTGCTGGCATAGATGAATCATTCACAGTTGAGTTGTAATAACTAGAATTCCCAAAACTCGCATCATAAGGTTCTGGTGTATTGTCTAATCGCAGAACTAAAAAAGTAACAAAAAAATTTATTTTATGTTGACAGTCTGGAAGATGCATGCTCAGGCATCTGCCAGACTATAGCAATTGTTCCAGATGAGTAAGTAGATACATCTTTCGTGTAGGCTTTGCAGATATTGGTTTTGAAATTTTAAATAAGTCTATATTTTTCATGACACATTTCTTTCTAAGACTAAGAGAACAGTTTAACTTCTAAAATAATTTTACTCCTGGTGAACCAAAAATAAAGGAACTAGGGGAGAAATCACAACGAAAGTAGAGTGGTACTTTGTATGAAGGACAGACAGACATATGTCTCATTGACTTTTGAATCTTGTGAATTCAGAGCCTTGTCAACATGTTCAGAATTTTTACTTCTGGTGTAAAAAAATAATTTTTAAAAACTGAAGAGCATTAATTTTAAATCGGTGTCATTATTTTTCTAAGTGTCTCAATATCTTTATGGTTGAGCCAGGGAAGATGGAGATGGAAGAAAACTATTTGTAAAACCCTATGTTTCTTTGTGATAGATCCTAGTTATCATGCACTTGACATTCTCTGATTAATGATATAAGATTATTTTTTACTTTTTCAATGAACAGCCAATTCTTACTTCCTTAATGATATTGAATTTATTTTCAAAGAAAACTTGGCATGTGCTAGGTATCTTTAAGTATTAAGGCAGTGACTAATTACTAGTTAGATTAGTGATTTATTTATTCAGTTAGGTATTCTCATATCCTACCTATTCTTTACACCTTCTGTTTACAGACTGGGTGCCCAGTAACCTTAGGGACTTGGGGGAGGTTTCTCAAAGCTCTCTTGAAGGAGAAAAGGAGGTGTTGTGATTGAGTTATTCCATTATGCCTTAATCACAACATCTTAGACTGTATCAGTTTGATAGACTGAGCTTTTGCATGTGATTACAGGTAAAGAAAAGATTCTGGGGTTAAAAAAAAAAAAGTATAGAAATCCCTGTTGTCTGAAATCCTATCCTTTAATTTTGAAAAGTGCCACTTTTTATTTTATATGGATTGCTAGAAACCCCCAAAATAGAATTCAGTTAAATTTACAATTAATGGATTTGGTTCTAAGATGAACAATATGTCAGTCATGATCTCAACTTAGTAAAATCAACAAGACTTTATCAACAGGATGTACCAGGGGCATTTAACTCTTTTTTATGGTGGCAAGAGTCCTTTGTAGAACAGAAAACATTTTTTTTTTCCTGAAGTATATAAAAAAAGATGAGTCAATTATTTGAAATTATTTCATTTCTGTTCTAATTAGTATTATATTAAGAACAAATCCAGTTCTTTATTTTTAGCAGACACATTTCTCATTCATAGACATTACGGTTGGTCTTTTCTATCACATGAGTGACAAATTCCTGCGTTACTGTGACTTTATGTACCCAAATATATGGCTTTTTATAGATTCTGTTTTAGAGACTCATTAAGATAATTGATTGAGGGCTACTGCATCTGTGTAAACTTTAGAAGAACTCCAAATTGGAATAAGTCATTGTTCAAGTTACTGCTGCTAAGAGATCCAACAATGGCAGAGAATATGGCTCTGCAGTTACTTGCTAACAAAACTGCCCATTTTTTTTCCTCAATGGCATTCTCTTCCAGTTCTATAGACATGTTTTAGGTTCTGGGATTTGGTTTATTTAAAACTAATTGTGATGCAATGAGCCACAGTTCCAAATGGCTTTAAAATTCCATCCACAGGTCCATAAGTATTTTGGTTATGTTCTTTGAGAAACAGAGAGTAGATCAGAATAAATCTTTAGTCTGTTTCTGTCATATAAATCTCCAACTCCCTTCTAGATAATGTAGTGAACATTGGTATCCTCATTTAATTAAAACCACCGTGTGCAGGTGAGGTCCTAAAAGTTGCTTTTACCTGGTTCGTTTCTGTCATCGTAAAGTCTCCGATGGGAAAATGAATCCATTTTCCTTTTTCCACACAGCAAGTAGCCAACAAGACTAAGCAATGAAGCACCCAGAATAGCACCTAAGATGGCCCCAAATACTACTCCTGTATTTTTATTCTCTAGAGAACAAAGAAAAAAATAATTAACAGATAAAGAAATATAAAATAATTTTTCAAAGAAGAGAAATATATACATTGGACTTTCTTTATAACAAAGAATGTTTAAACAATATTGTTTTTTTTTTTAATTAGATAATGGTGATGTGTGTGTGTGTATTTTGTCAAGTGCTGAGTATTTGGGATATATTGGCAAATACACCTCCTGATAAAACCGTACTTCAAATTTTTAATTACGTTGAAATACTTCTTAGTATTATAACTGTCTCTCATTCCTTTTTTAACAACAATAGTACTGAAATACCATGTATATGCTCCATTAAGATCTAATTTCTATGTTGAGTGCTATATTAAGTTTTTAATCAACTCTGAATCTCTAATGAACATTAATGATGAAATGAACCTTGAACTTGTTTCTATAATAACTGAAAAGTAAAAAGCTAATGGGAGTAAGTGGGTGATAGAAAATGAATCCACAAAACCCCAACTGAAAAGGCACTCTAAGGGAAAAGCAGTATATCCTGATATAGGATATTTCCAGATACAGTAGATAGACCAAAGCAAGATGTTTGCAGTGTCTTGCACACTGAGAACAGATGTGTAGGTCTGAGTTTAAGGGAGCCCAAAATTTTACTCTATCATCCCTTTTTACTAAGTACCTTATTTGAAGACTAAGTTCATTATTAACAAACTATGTATTGCTCCCTGAACTTATATTTAGTGTATTGTATTTTCAGAGTTTTTTAAAAAATTTCATGAGAATGTTATTAATTAAGTGGGTGAGGGGTCTTATAAAGTCTGTAATTCTATATTAAAACCCATTTATAAAAAAATTAACCTACACACTAGAAGTGTAACAGCAAAATTACTACTAAAATAAAAGCAAAACAAAGTCAACTAATTTTCTTTTGATTAAAGAGCAATGGTGGGCATAAGTACTCTGTATTCTTAGTATGTATGTTGCGTTTAGAGAGGCAAAAGAGAGAGAATATTTATTAAAAATCTTTCTGATGTAGGGGCGCCTGGGTGGTTCAGTCAGTTAAGCGTCTGGCTCATGTTATTGGCTCAGGTCATGATCTCACTCTTGTGAGATCGAGCCCCACGTGAGGCTCCATGGTGAGTGTGCAGCTGCTTTAAGATTTTCTTTCCTTCTTAGCCGCCCCACCACTCTGCTTGCACTATCTCAAAAAAAAAAAAAAAAAAAAAAACCTCTTTCTGATGTAGTATAAGAGTATGTATGAATGAAAGGATACGTTAAAATTATAGCTAAAATGAAAATATACGTACTTACAATCTATTAGCTGCAGTGCTATTATAAAGCCTAGATTTCAAAATTTAAAACTTTTCCTGTACACTAACAACTTTCAAGTAGGAATTTGTATGTATGATGTAGTGTTTACATCATTAATATAATCTGAAAGTAAGTTGTATTGCAAGTCATTGGATTCATGGGGGAAAAAAGAATTTTTAAAAAATTTCAGGGAAAGGCAAATACCATATGATTTCACTCATATGTGGAATTTAAGAAACAAAACAGATGAACATATGGGAAGGGGAAAAAAAAAAGAGAGAGAGGGAGGCAATCCATAAGAGACTCTTAAGGATAGAGAACAAACAAGTTTGCTGGAGGGAAGTGGGTGGGGGATGGGCTAGATGGGGGATGGGCATTAAGGAGGGCACTTGTGATGAACACTGGGTGTTTTATGTAAGTGATGAATCTTACTCAATTCTACCCTTGAATCCAATGTTACACTGTATGTTAACTCACTGGAATTTAACCCAAAACTTGAAAAACAAATTTCAGGGAAACAAAAACTTGGGTAGACCTGAAAAAACAAAACATGATGAATTTTCATTATATTAGAGATCTTCTCTGTTTTATGTTTTAAAACTTGACAAAATCCCTAAGTGAAACATAAAAATGTTCCCATAATATGCTTTTCTTGTGATACTCACAGCTACATTCCATTTTTATGGTGTTCATTAGGTACTAAACTAAAAATTCAGGAGGATTTCCTTTTGTTGAGTTTATTTACATTTTTAAAAAAAATCAGTGTTCTGTTTTCCTGTGATTGCTATGTGGTATCAGATAATTTATAAATTCATTTATTTTATTCAATTTTCACATACATATGTTTTTAAAGTTCAGATGCATATTGTTCCTAAAGCATGGGACATTTCAGGCAGTTTTCTCAGATTCAGTGAAAATCACTGCACCATATCTCAAAACTGTACTACTACTTCAACCTAACCTTCCTCTAATTTTGTCCTGCTGTCTCGTCATGTTCCCATACAGTAATGAGTACTGTATGCTGCCTGAAGCCTGAAATCCCTTCACTCTTTCCACTGAATATCTTGGATGCCCCCCAAAATGAGAACCACCTGTGCGGCTGTAGTCTTTTTTTTTTTTCAACATGGTACATTATTTAGTTGTAATCTGCATGACTTAGTTCGAGATTCAGTTTCACACGAAAGGAAAGTTAAATCCATTTATATTTACCTTCTTCTGATGTATTTGAGAAGATTTTTGAATTATTGGTAAACTTTAAAGTGGGCTGTAGAGTTGTTATTTCTTGGTAGGGGGTAAACCCTATGAAGCTGTCATTGGATGTGGTGAGCCATTCTTCTGGTTTTGTTATCGTGGGGGTCACAGACGTGGTATTTGGTGCTGCAGGGAGGACACTAACTGAAATGGAACTGTTGCCAGGAGTTTTTATGGTATCACTGGCTGAAGACCAAGTGAACTTTTCTGAAGATATAGCAGATGTAGCTTTGGGAGGTGCTGAGACTGGAAGAGGATTTTCATCTGCTATGGATGAGTTCCAAGACAATTTAGAAACAAAGCTATGGATCAGAGGAGAGCTTGTGGGAGACGTAGGCATAGGTCCTGGATTCCTAGAAAAGTTGTTCGTTGATGAATTGCTGAAGACTTCTGTTGTTCCATGGCGTTTATTTAATGGGTCCCAAAGAGGGGAATTACTTGCCTCGGGATTGGAGGTTTCTCTATTTTCTTTATCTGAGCTTAAATTTGCATCACTTTCCAAAGGAACAGATTCATTTCCCATTGTTTTTAGGTCTGCTGCAATGCTTTGTGTTGTGTTTCTTTCTAGACTTTCTTTCCCATGACTTCCAATTAATAGTAAACTAAACAAATTTGAAATCAACAGAATTTTGGCTGAGGTCAACATAGTAGCCTTTTTTAGTATTGGTGTTATTAAGGAGAATCTGAAAAAAAGCAAATAACAAGCATCTGAATTATTACATGAAGTAGTGATTTTTTAAATGGATCTACATCTTTAAAGTAATAAAAATCTAGAGATATAATACTGAATCAATAATACCATACTTTTTATTCCAAAAGTTAGTTTTCTTTGGATTATATACTAAACCTAGAGTGAGTTCTATTTTCTGTATAATATTTATTTCTTCTTTCTTCTAAGGAAATGCCATGCAAAAACTTTGTCAAGCCACATACCACTATTCCACTATTTCAAAGATCATTTAGCTTTTGACAAGTTGAAATATTTATATATATTTGAGATATTTTATATGGATTGCTAAGTAAAATATTGTAAATATAGGGCACGTAGAGCTGGCTGATTTCTTTAACCTGTTTAAGAAAATATGTTTTCTATAAAGACATAATTTGGAATGTTTATTATGAAAATGATGTTACTGATTATACTCTAAACATGTAATACTGGACCTTAAAAATAGCAGGGACCTTCACTTGAAAACATTTAAATCAATATCCCTTTTTTTCACAACACTTTAATGATGCCCTTCTTCCTATTAATCCAAAATTAGGGAAAATCAGGAAGACTCTCAGATTTCAGGATATTCTTTCCTTATATTCCCTTATTATATAAATGAAACATCTGGCTGGGAGAATGTGTAGAAAAAATGACATAGTTAGATAGTAGGAGAGTTGAGGTTGAAACCCTGGTCCAGACTTTTAATCCAGGCATTATCATTCTGCCTCTGAAATGTGGAAGTGCCACAACTCATAGGAGGATATGGGGGAAAGATTTTAAAATTAGATTTATATTAAAATTTTGACTTCTATTATGAATAACCTGTGAAAAATAATCAACATAATAAGCACTTACTTTATCATCATCATCATCATCATACTGACATCACAGTGTTCTGAAGACTAAATGAAATGATGTATGTAGAAGTACTCTAATCAATACCTGGCCTAAAGTAAGCAGCTAATAGACATTCCATTTTTTATTATGAAAATATAATAATATTTATGTAAGTGCCTTACAGCTCAGAAAGTTTGCAATATCATCTCGCTTGATCCTCACCATGATCCCTTGCGAAAAAAAAAATAGCTTGTATATCCTTATTTTGCGAAGGAAGAAACTGAGGTTCAGAGTGGCTAGTAATGACAGCTAGTGAATGGAAGAGAAGCACTGAAATCCAACTCTACTGACTTCAACCTAGTTAGATGCTAAAATTAGAAATGTCTGACCTAATGATGTAGTATACATTGGCTAATTGAATTTAAATAAAAAAATAAAAAATAGATAAAATTTGAAATATCTTTAATATAAAAATATTCTTTTAAAAATGTTAGACTGTTCCTCTTCAAACAATAAAGTCTGAAAACTAATTTCCTATTCTTTGAATTGGATCTTAGAGCTTATTTTTCACTAAAAACTTCCAGGATGACTAAGATAAGAAAAGGGAGAATGTGCACTTGCTATTTTTAAGGTCCAGTATTATGTGGCATTTCTTAAAAGCTCTCCCAGAAATGTTTACAATTATGTTCAGCCTTGAGTTTTCATTAGGGTCTGAGGAGTCTCTAAATACTCCATCTGATTTTCTTTTGGATTTAAGTGCCCCCTTCCTGCTTAATGATATTCTTAAATATATTTATAATACATCCTGATACATATTTTTTTCCAAAAGCTTTTAGTAATTCGTCCATACCTGTGGATTCCTAGGACTTTCGAAATGTAATATTTTCCATGCCCTATGCTTACCACTTAAATAAATTCTACTTAAAAGGCAAGGCAGGGGTGCCTTGGTGGCTCAATGGATTGGGTGTCTGACTCTTGGTTTTGGCTCAGGTCATGGTCATGAGATCGAGCCCTGCCCCCGGCTCCACCCTCAGTGCAGAGTCTGCTTGAAGATTCTCTCCCTCTGCCCCTCCCTGCCCCCTAGAATAAATAAATCTCCTGGAAGGGGACTCTGTATACTCCTGCTACTCTGTTTCTTGATCTGGTAGGCATTACATAGGTGTTTGTATTTGTGATATTGTCTGTTTATATTTCATTCACTTTTCTGTGATGGCCAAGAAAATGGATTTAGATCCAAAAAATGTTAACATCATTGGAAAACGTATTACTACTCTGCTTTTATTAAATCAGATGCTTCACACATTTTCTCATTTAATCCTTACCAAAAACAATCAAACAAACGAGGGAGGGATTATCAGTCCTGTTTTATGCATAATTAAATGGGGCATTAAAAATGTAAACAATGTGGGGTGTCTGGGTGGCCCAGTCGGCTAAGCCTCCAACTCTTGGTTTCGGCTCAGGTCGTGATATCAGGGTCCTGAGATGGAGACCCATGTGGGGCTCTGCACTCAGTGCAGAGTCTGCTTAGGACTCTCTCTCCCTCGCCCCCTTCCCCTCCCCCACCTCTCTCTAAAATAAAACAATAAATTGAAAAGAAAAGTGTCAAGGACACAGAGTACTGACAGACATCGGGTTAGGATTCAAACCTCGGCATTAAAGCCAGTCATCACTCATCTGTGAAATAGAAGTTACAAAGGACTATAGAAATTGATTACAAGGGAATATAGAATTCAGCTGCTTTTTAGAACTTCTTCCCACCAACATTTTTTTTAGCGCAGCTTCTCCAAATTTTATTATTTTACTCAAAGCAGTTTATAATACCATTATTTTTTTTAAAGATTTTTATTTATTTATTTGACTGAGAGAGACACAGCAAGAGAGGGAACACAAGCAGGGGGAGTGGGAGAGGGAGAAGCAGTCTCCCCACGAAGCAGGGAGCCTGACTCGGGGCCCGATCCCAGGACCTCAGGATCATGACCTGAGCTGAAGGCAGACGCTTAACAACTGAGCCACCCAGGCGCTCCAATAATACCACTATTTTAAACACTGGAAAAATAGGGCCTTCTACCTTAAGTACCCCTCAAACACACTAAATACACTTTTACCCTAATTTAAGAAAATCCCAACAATTGTTTCTATGATGCTAGGTGGACACCTTTAGCATGTAGCTTACAAATTAACAAACGTTATCATCCCCAGGACCTCTAGTTCACCAACACATTATTAAACTGATACCTCACCCAGCACATTTAAAATACAATTCAATTTAGTTTAAAAATACTTCCATGTATCTTTTCAGAAAAATCCTTCTCCTGTGAACTGTCAAATTCATAGCAAACATTAGAGCCTTTTTCATTATCTAATTCCAGTGGTCCCATTAAATTTATGAATTGTACTTAGCCACCCATTGTATCATTATTATACATTTTGATTTGTTTTCCCTTTGTGGTTATTTTCTCTTCCTAATGAAGTGGTCACCAGAAGGGAAAAAAACAGCCCTTAGCTGTTCCAATTTTCTCACGTTACGTGAGGAACATGGTATTGAGCTTTCACTCCCTTCCCGTAATGAGAATCCACATATCAAGAGCCAGCAAAGTGAGTTTTGTTGTTCTGGATTCACTTTGTAACATTGAGCCACCAATGGGATCTCTCTACCCTTCACCCAGCTTTTGATTGTAACTTGAAAGGTATTAATACCCCAAATGAGCCAAGCGTTCTGTTACTGCCTATAATTTATCTCCAGGGAAAAGAGGGAAATGGAAGAGAGGGATGATGTGTGTTGTGAATACCATTTGCAGTTTATTCCAAAAATAATACAGTTATGGGTAAGGCTTTTGTGAGAATTGGTTTATTCCTGCTATCCTGGCCTGACAGTGGAGGATAACTTTGCTTCCGCTTCTTAGCTTCCAAGAGAAACAGGTTACACCTCTCCCTCAGGTCTCTTCATCTTAAAGGGATAGAAGATCCCAGGCTACAGGTTAAGACAGGTGGGTTTTGTTTTTCTTTGTAATAGGAAATTCAGTCTGACATTAGCCAACCCAGAATTGAAACCATCAGCTATTCAGAACCCCAGCCCTGGGCTTTTGCTGGACAAGGACTAGAAAATTTTGGTTAAGTTCAACCCTATTCTGAATTGAAGAAAACACGTTGTAAGCCCCAAAGGCTAATGGAGGTAATACAGAAGCTCTGAAGGGCAATAAAAGAAATCTGTGCTCTTTCTCTTTGCACTTTCCTCTTGGCCTCTCTCCATCTCTAGAGTTTAAATATTTAAAGTATGTTGTATACTCATTGTGTAAAGTTATGCTGGATGATGGTTGGCATGCTTGTGTGTGCCCAAGTTCATCTGTCAGCCAGGTGCACTGTGGAGGCAGACAGAAGTGGGACCAAAGAAAAATGCAATTGAGGAAGGAGAGTAAATCAGGAGAACCCGGTAGCTATCATTTTCCCTACTGTCCTTTTTGCCCTTTCTGGCCCTAGGTAGAAACGTGAGAGAGGAAATTTGAGGGGGTAGAGCATAGGAACAGAGCTAAGATCATTACAAACTTGAAAAACTTCTAAGATTAGAATTATTATAAAGCAAACAGAAAAAAAGGACTTCCACCCATTTTGCGATACTTTAAAAACAGATTCTAAACCTTTCTGTATATATTAAACTATTTTTATTGTTTCTGGTATTTAACACATTTTAAAATATACTTTCAGAGGGTGTGCGTTGCACTATTTTTTTTTAATAATTACTCTATGCAGAGCAAATGAACACAGTTTTCTCCCCTGTTTTTGGTGTTGGCACTAAAAAGTGGTTTCACATTACGACTTTTGTATGGAGGGCTGCAGAAAGTGGTGAGAGAAACACAACAACCATGACCATTAAGGGAAGCAAGTCCAGACTCTCTGCATAATTTTGCTTCCCCTTAAATGCATAGAGTCATTATTCTGCCCAGCCTTCTTGTTATAACTGAGTCATACCCATTTCATATCAAGCCTTTAAAAATAAGGTGGTACCCTGGTTTGTATCAGGTAATCAATCCATGCAAGGAAAGAGAAATGCTAGTTATTGGCAAGTCAATCACAATCCAAACTTTTAAATTACAACATTAGTTCAGTGCACTGAGGGGATACTGTAAAAACATGTTTCCGCAGTGAAATAACTAAACAGTACATAGAATGTGCTACTTCTCTCTCAGTTGCTTTTGCTTGTTTTTTATTATAGATCCCAGGCTACAGGTTAAGACAGATGGGTTTTGTTTTTCTTTGTAATAGGAAATTCAGTCTGACATTAACCAATATCCCAGGCAGACCCTGTTACTCTTGAGTGGCCTTTACAATCTTGAACAGTATTTTGCTTTTCCTAAATGAAAGAGCTTCAATAAATGAGGGCATAATGAACTATGCTTCTAGAAATGCCTCTTTTAATAAGAGGGTTTTGAAAGGATGAGAACATCTAGTAGCCAGAAAGAAGAATTGTACCTGAGGACCGTAGACATATCATTTCACTTTTATTTGACTTAAAAAGAAAAGAAAGACAAGGCTTTCCTTCAGGAAAAAAAATTTCAAGTTGGTGAACACAATTCTAATTAAAAGACTGGGGTATGCCGAAATCCAAGAAAAATATGTAGAATGTCATACTCCCTGCTAATTTGAGCATTGTTAGTCATCATCTTTAGTACTGAAATAATTAGATGGAAGAGTATCAAGCTTAGAAAGAAAAACTGTCTCCAGAATATTCTGGACCCAGATTCACAAGCATGGGGTTTTCAGCCTTCTATTATATTTCACTGTAGAAAATCCCTCCTTGGATCAAATAGAAAGTGCTAAGCAGTAAATCAACATCCCTTTAATTAAAGGAGACTTACCTAGCCACAAACAAAATAATTTTAAGAAACTTGATCCACACCTTAATTCCATAAGATGTGTTCTGTAGCAACTGACTTAGCCACTCAGATTTCCAATGAGCACCAGATGTACACACATATCATGCTAAGTAAAATAGTTACATAACATTTTGCCAATTTTTTGATTAATAAAATCTTTGGAAAAAATGTATAGAGGCTTGTAATTCATTGTATTCAAATATTGTTTTTCAAAAACTGTCATATTATAATACTTTGGCAAGATCCTTAAAGCCCAAATGCATAATTTAAATCTAAATAATCAATTCATATTTATGCGATTTCCACTTTAAACATCGTGAAACTTTTACTAAGATCTGACGGCAACTCTCTCTTGTAGTCATGTACAATTTAAGTAAGGTTTTTATTTAACTCTGCAGCTGGTTTCATCACTGAGCAAATTTGGAAGTAATTCCTAAAGCTAAGTCACTTAGTGCAAATGCTCATTTGGAAGGTAATTAATGAGACAACTACCTGTTTTTATAAGGGACTCTGTAGCTACTTGCCGGAGAGTTCTGTCAAAAGTTGACCCTGCTTTGATTCTCTCTGGCAAATAAATAAAAGAGACAGAGAGGGAAGGAGAAAGGGAAAGAGGAGAAAAAAGGGAGGGGGGGGATGGGATCCTAGGTAACCCAGTCCACACTTACCTTCAGGTTCTGGAGGTATTTACAAACAGGAACTAAAATATCACAGACAGCTGTCCTGGCTGGAATGAGTCTGCCGAGCATCAGAGAAAGCAGATGGGTTAAGTATGACAATGTCCCACTGAGCAGGAGGGTGTCAGAGAAACAAAATTAGGTGGAGCTGGCCAAATCTTGCTTGTGTAACAGAGCACCCAAGAACCTGACTGACCTGCTTCTCAGCTGTCAGCATGAAGATATCACCTCATTCAGACCTTTAAAAAAAAAAAAAAAAAGCCCAACCCTCCAGGTTTCATAGGTTGATCGTTTGACTTTGGGGCAGGCTAGTTCTCTTGAGCAGTGGCAGAACAAGGGACATCCATTTCCTGCCCTAAATGAAAAAAAAAAGGACAAAGACTTTGGTAATGTCCGCCGGTGTATAAGGAATTTCTGGCACATGCTGGATTTGCCCTTTGCAGGTGAGGAAACCAAAATGACTCATGCCCTGCACCTGTTACTCCGTGTGAGCCCCATGTTGTTCTCCTATATCATAAACAAACCTGTCTTTCCCATAGTAGTATGCCCTCTTTGTGTACCAAAAACCTGAATGGAGAAAATACAGTGGTGAGGGTCCTTGTCTGCAGTACACTGAAATCAGTTTTATCAAAAGTCACTCTTAACACAAAGTGAATTAACGTGTATTGGCATCCTGGAGAAAGCTGTGAAGCATTCAGTTAGAAATCACCAGAATTGAGATGGGCTTTCTTGCTGACTTTCAGGAGTTTGGGGAGTCACAGGGGCCTGTGTGGGAATGGCCACATGATCCTGAGCAATCCTGAGAGCCTTGTCAATTAAGCTCTTTCCTGTGTTCTCTTTGCTTTTACTCTCAATTTAGAAGCTGGAGAGTTTCACAAGTGCCCAGGTAATGCCTGATTAAATACTAGAGTTGAATAACAACCTGGCATGCTTCCTTCACTTCCTTCCACAGCTTATGAAAGGGAGCAGAGTGAAACTGCACTTTCTGGGATATTCTGCACACCAGTATTTGGGGGCTGGCGCCAAGGCCCGTTCAGCTCAGTACGTCTGAGGTTCACGCTTAGTTTCTGTTGTACAAGGAGGTAGGTTTCCAAATGCTGGGAGAGAAAATGAAACCTTAGCTAAAGTACAGGACCTTCAAATTGAATGCAAAGAATCTGCCCCATTAATTGGTCCCAGGAAAGAACAAGGTAATGCTATAGTTTTAAATTTTCTGAAGTCAAAGCCCCCTTCAGAATATGATTAGAAATTAAGCCAACCCCTAAAAAGAAGTGTTTACTCAAAGGATATTTAAGCTGTATCTGCACTGGTATGAAGAAAAGCAAGTTGAATTTAATCAAACAACTGATTACTGAGCAATGGTTTAATAGAATTCAATTGGTAATTTTCAGATTAGTCAGTTACTAGGAAAAAATCCCACTGACAAAATATTTTCTGTCTACTTAGAGATCTGAACATGACTTGGCAGGGTTGGGTGTGCCATGCCCTTAGGGATTTTCCTAGATATGTGTATGAATATCATTACCACTTTCTGACTTGACCATGGTAATTATGGCCTATGCCAGGCATGGAAATTACAAGGTACTTTTGCTACAACTCTCTGCTTTCACTGTGTAAGAGTCGAATCTCACCTCCCATGAACCCCTTTTCTGGAGACTGTACCTGTGGCCCCAGAATCCTGTTCATCGTTGCCCTCCTGACAACCATAACAAATTGGTTAGAAATGACCCTAGAGATAAACCCTATTTACCCTCCCTGTCATGAGCACATCTGGAAGTAAAGTCATAAAATAAGAAGTATGCATGCATTTAATGCCTCAGTGGCTACTTAGCCCACTTACTTGTGATCAGAAATCTTTGTGAAATCACCTGAGTTGGAGTTAAAAAGTAATTTCTTGGGGCGCCTGGGTGGCTCACTCTGTTAAACATCTGCCTTCGGCTTGGGTCATGATCCCAGGGTTCTGGGATGGAGCCCCATATCAGGGTCTCTGCTCAGTGGAGAGCCTGCTTCTCCCTCTCCCTCTGCCTGCCGCACCCCCTGATTGTGCTGTCAAATAAATAAATAAAATCTTTAAGAAAAAAGAAGTAATTTCTTGCCAAACAAGCAAGTCTCAGTGAGATACATTCCCAAGTATATACCATGGTCTAGGTAAGACCAATCCCATGTTGGCCCTTGTTTTTCCAGGTGAACTCAATGATAAGGGACAACTAGCTGGCAATTTAGTCAGCCAGGCAAGCTGAGATGACACATGGTACAATGCCTACATAATTATTTTGTAATTACAATTTTCTTGTTGAATCCTGGCTTTGCCAACTTACTGGTTTCATAACCTTGCCTAATCACCATCCCATTTCCAAGACTGCTTTCTCATTTGTAAAATAGCAAGAGTGACACCTACCTCCAGGTCACCTGTGGGGAGTCAATGAGGTAAGGTAGATAAACACTAGGTAGGGCTCAATAACTATAGTTATATGATAACTATAATAATTTTTTTTAGAGATGGCAGAAATTAAAGCTTCAGCATCAATGTGAATGGAAGTTGAGATGAGTCCAACAAAGCGTGGAAACACTTATATTAAATTTGAAAATTAAATTAAATTAAATTATTAAATTAAAATTACCTTGGCACATAGTAGTTGCTCAATAAATAGTAACTGAGTGAAAAATGAAATAATTCAGAGCGCCTGGGTGGGCGTCTGCCTTTGGCTCAGGTCATGATCCCGGGGTCCTGGGATCCAGCCCCATGTCAGGCTCCCTGCTAAGCAGGGAACCTGCTTCTCCCTCTCCCTCTGCCATTCTCCCTGCTTGTGCTCGCTCCTTCTCTGTCAAATAAATAAATAAAATCTTTAAAAATCTTTAAAAAAAAAAGAAAGAAAAGAAAAATGAAATAATTCTTCTCCAATTTCAACTGATTTTTTTTCCTGACAGAGAGGCTTTCCCTCATCATCCTTATAAAAACTACAACCCTCCTTTCTTGACCTATTTTAATCTCCTTTCCCCACATTATTTTACCGGCAGCACTTATAGTTACTTAACATACCCTTTACCTTATTTTTGTTGTTTATTATCTGTTCCTGTACTAGAAAGCTCATGAAAGCAAACATTTTTAGTCTTCTTTCTTAATTGCTTTATCCAAAGAGCTAGAATATTTCCTTGCACAGACTAAATGCTCAATAAATGTATAAATGAGTGAATTAAATGAGTGAGTAGGTACATAAACAAATAAATATAATTAACAATAATAACCAAAAAAAGTGAAAATATTAAGTATAAGACATCTGCAAGCTCACTTTTCTTCTACCTAGAGTATTCTTCCAATTGTTGGCTCTTTCAGATATGAAATCAACTTTTTCTTCCACTTAAAGATATCTCTTAGGCATCTTTGTATGATTGTACATGTACATCATTGAGCAATTTCCTAGAGCAAGTAATAAGGGATGGGGGCTAGTTTACAAGAAGAGTTAATTTAACTATGGGTTCATAAATCTGTTACAGCAAGTGAGAGTGGAGACACTATTGCATACAAGTGTAGGTAAGTGGGTAGGTGTGGTTTTGGGGGGGTAATTTCTTCTGAATACTTTATTTTTAATGATGAGGTAGAGAGCAAAATTGCACTTAAGAGTGATAAGAGTGTATGTGCTGGATGTTAAAAGAGAAAAGAAAAGGTATGACAGCATGGCACAAGTCCACTCAAATTATTAATTTAAAACAAATCAACTCATCCAACATACCTGTCTTTTTCTCCAGTGATGGTGTGCATGGGGACAGATGGACAGTAGATGGAGTGTTGTGTTTTTGTTTTTTTGTTTGTTTGTTTAATATTTTATTTATTCATTTTGACAGAGAGAGAGACAGCGAGAGAGGGAACACAAGCAGGGGGAGTGGGAGAGGGAGAAGCAGGGTCCCCGCTGAGCAGGAAGCCCAATGTGGGGCTCAATGCCAGGACCCTGGGATCATGACCTGAGCCGAAGGCAGACGCTTAACGACTGAGCCACCCAGGCACCCCTGGAGTGTTGTTTTTAACTAGGGTCATGTTCAAACTATGAGTTTATGACAAACTGAGAGAAGAGCTAGAGCTCTGAGGGTGTATGCAAGTGGGTGAGTATAATGGCAGACCATTAGCATCTTAAAGAAGAAAGTGAGGGCACCAGGAGCGGAAAGGACAGTCAAAATATGATGGGGTTGAAGATTGAAAAATCTTGGTCAAGTGTCAGTGGATTGAAAATCTGGGTCAAGGAGTTGTTGGAATTGGAGTTTATAGGGAATGAGCTAGAAGGATGGAGATGATAACTGGAGATTTTAGAGAGTTTGCAGTCATTGACCAAAAGTATGCTGTGGGAGTACATGAGTGAAATAGGCGAGGAGAAGACAACTTTGAAGATAGAACCGAGGTCCTAGAAAGATTATCTATGTATATTGTAGTTTCAAAGAATTATTTTAGGAATCATGTTGAAAAGAGTTACACTAAGCCAAGAGTTTGAAAATCTTAAGACAAGCTAGGGACGTGTCCCCAGGGAGTGGTAGATGACTTCCACTAGGAGAAGTAGTAGGAAGTATGGATATAATGTGAGACTCAAGTCCGTGAATGAGGAGCAAGAAATTCACCACCTCATCTTCAGTCCCAACTGGTATGGGAGACAAATAGCTATTACCTGAGAATGCCATATGGAAATTGGGGTTTCAGGAGTGTCCCGGGTTTCAGTTAGCGCAAGAAGTTGGGGGGACATAAGTTACTGTTGATGACACTGAGCACAAGAGGATATAGTGGAAGTATCTCAAAGTGTTGGGAAGGAGTGAGAGATGGTCACAAAGGCAGTCTGTTTCCCTGAAACTAGAGGATCAAACTCTGAGGGTTAAGGGATGATCTGGAAATCTTAGTCTTCTTGAGATAACTGATATTAACAGAATTAAGGAGCACAGTGACTGAGTCATGATGGACTCAGTTGGGAGTGATAACAGGAGGAAGAGTTGTGTGTGTAGGATATGGACATGGAGGCATCTTGCTAAGATGGAGAGTTCTGGGCTCCCTCTAGACCCCTGCTCATAGAAAAATTCTGAAGTGAAGCCTCTTATTCCTAGCACCCAAAACAACTGTTCAGCCTTGCAAGTGGCAACCTGCTGGAAAATGATACTGCTCTCTTTAACAAGTACATGATACTCTGTTGTGCAGAAATGCCATACA